TTTTTTTCTAGGAAGAAATATCTTTCCTCCAGAAGTGAATAGCATTGATTAAGACCACAGCTTTAGTGTTTGGGTTTTAATCCTCTTTCTAAAAAGGAATCACAACCAAGTTCAACCTCTCCAAAGTTTCATTTTCTTGTGTGAAAAACAACGTAAGCATAGCTGTCTCATAATGACGATCTGGATATTAAATACGATAATTTATGTAGAGTGCTTGGCTCAGTGCTAGGTACAAAATTACCAGTAGTGCTGAGTAACTGGTTCCTATAATCAGATGAGTATCTGCACAAATTCATTGGCAATTCCATGGTGACTGAATTTATGAGGAAAGTGCTTTCTTAAATTAGTAACATCTGATCACCTTTTAAAAATAAAGACCATTGCCGAAACCGGTTTGGCTCAGAGGTAGAGCATCAGTCTGTGGACTGAAAGGTCCCAGGTTCGATTCCGGTCAAGGGCATGTACATTGGTTGCGGGCACATCCCTGGTAGGGGGTGTGCAAGAGGCAGCTGGTTGATGTTTCTCTCTCATCGACGTTTCTAGCTCTCTATCCCTCTCTCCTCCTCTCTGTAAAAAATCAATAAAATATATATTTTAAAAAAATAATAAATAAAAATAAAAATAAAGACCATTTCATTGCACTTAACGCTATGCAGAGAAAACAAGAGGCTGGGCAGCATTGCTAGCTTGAAGTTCTCAAAAGAATATTGTTAAAAGTCAGATCAACTCGTAGGTGAGCTACATGAATAATTCATAGGATTCACTGTTCCATGACTTACCTCTTCACATCATATTTATGCGTGTATGTTTTTCCAGTGAAAATTATTGAGCATCTATTAAGACACTATCAGGCACTGAAGATAATGTTATTATTAGCTGTCATTTACTGTGTGACTATATGTATCTGGCATCATGTTTAAGGATATTCATTCGTTATTTTGTTTAATTGCCACGCCAACCTGCTGAGATGGGTCTGTCTGACTTGAGAGCCCAACTTTTAATCACTATGCCTCACTGATTATGCTTTCCACTAACCCACTGTCTGGGCCGGCATGGCGACAAATAAGCATGGGTATCTGGAGGCTCTGGGAACTTCTCAAATAAAGGAAAGTGAGCACCATAACTTTGAAACATTCATATTCTCTCAGATAATTTCCAGCCTAAGAATCCTATTGGGAATCCCCACCCCATGTTTCTTTACTCCACACACCTAGGCTCCCTAGTCTGGTTGAGTCATCTAATTCCCTCTGAAGGCTGAAAGCATCATTCTCACCATTCCTGAGAGTATGTCCTCTTGAATCTGTATCCAGAAAGTTCTGCTCTTTGACTAACATTCAGTCGTCTTGGATCAATCTCAGCTTTGAGACACACCATTCCTCTTCTGCCTAGATCCAAGATTCAAGTCTCCTAAACCTTTATGGTATTATGCAATTAAAAGCAAATGGTATAATTATCTATATCATTGAGAATAAATAGATTAATTTTTAAATAAACATGATGCGTGCTTCTGTTCTTCATGAATACAAACACAGGCTTGACCAATAGTTTGGGGTATTCGATTATTTTACCTTCCTTACCTACTATTCCATTTCTAGCTAATACTCAGGTTGGTGTCTACATTTTAATTTGGCCTAACTCTTGGTCATCCCTTCAGTTAAAATAGAATTTTATTCAGGTCTTCATTCCCCCCTAAGCAACAAATGAAGAGAAAAAAAAATTATGAAAAAGAAAAGCTTTTGATGTTTTGCACTGGAATTTGAGTAGTATTTTCTTTTTTTTAAAATATATTTTATTGATTTTTTACAGAGAGGAAGAGGGAGGGATAGAAAGTTAGAAACATCAATGAGAGAGAATTATCTATCAGCTGCCTCTTGCACACCCCCTACTGGGGATGTGCCCGCAACCAAGGTATAGGCCCTTGAGGGAATCGAACCTGGGACCTTTCAGTCCACAGGCTGACGCTCTATCCACTGAGCAAACCAGTTTCAGCCTGAGTAGTATTTTCTATAAAAGTCCTCTTCTTTCCACTCCAGACCATGAAATAAGAGATTAAGGAGCAAAACTTGCTTTCACTCTGAGTTCTAGCTAACTGACAAATCAGATATCTCCTAACCGGCAAAATCAGATATCTGAAGAATTTCAGATTACCCGATGTTTGCTTCCTGCACTTAATCCTTCTATTTTCCTTTTCCTTTTCTTTTAGTAAACTGCTTTCTAAAAATTGACCTTCAGAACATTCTCTTTCATAGAACCTATTGCTGCATCAACATGTGAACCCTATTCTGTTCTTTGATTTAGCTCAAATGTCGGTATTAATGTACACAGTCTCCCTACTATACTCACATTAACCCATACAACAAGGAGTACTTAGAAACAGCACATATGAAGCTTTACTGTTTTAAAAAAGATTTTCTGAAAGAATATGATATTTTAACAGCTGAATTCTTCCCTGACCATTTTTCATACGTGTGCCAGTAGCCATATGAAATTCTTTAAGCAAAGTGCTCCTTCTTCTCAAGTACCATAGGGGCCGAGCTCACAGAATTTAACAAAGTCTTACACTTTGAATAAAGAAATTGAATTGAAAATATGATGAGCTGATTCTTTAAGTATAATATTTTATGCAGATATGCAAGGAGCTCCTAGCTTATGTGTTTTCATTTTGGAAATCAGTTGTTTCTAATAGCCAAGTAGTAACCATCTACCTCAATAATATAGTGTAAATACTCTGCAATGGCTCCGTTTCCATATAGGTTTTCTGGTAGTGTACTTTTCTCCACACTTGCTCACAAATAATCCCTCTGGTGCAATAAGATAAAAAAAAAAAAAAAGGTGGCCTTCCTAAAGACTATCTGAGATTTTAATATGGGCTCAGTAACTATTTTCCAGAGTGTTTCTTGATCCACATTCCTGATATTCCAGCATTCCAGCCAATAATAGTAGGATTATAGAATGTACCTCTGAGACCTCTATGGCCAGCATCCTCATTGAAAACATAAGAAACACAGAGACAAGGAGGCAAAGATAAAGTCATTTATTCAAAATGACACATTAAATGGAAGAAATAACATCAAGATCCAAGTCTCCTAAACCTTTAAGGTATTATGCAATTAAAGGCAACTGCTATAATTATCTAAACCATTGTGAATAAATAGATTAATTTTTAAATAATCACGATGTGTGCATCATGTTCTTCATGAATACAAACTCAGGCTTGACCAATAGAGTACAATGGGAAAGCATTATGACATTTCTTAACCTATTCTAAGAGGACTTTGCCATCTGACCAACAATGAAAGAATTCATGTTATGACAGAAGTGTCATAAGAAATCTAAGCTATATGTCAACTGAGGGTCACAGCCCCAACTGAGCCCTCAGCCAATAGTTAGCTTCAACGGCCACTCATGTGTCATCATCTTTGAGGTCCAGTTCATTTGATCCTTCAGATGACTAAAGAGTCAACCACTATCTGCATGAGAAACCCCAAGGAGAAACCATATACGTAAACCCAGTCAACTCACAGAACCATGCAAAATGATAATAAATTGTTATTTTAATCTCCTAACTTTGAAATGGTTCGTGTACAGCAAGAAGTAATCAAGAGAGTCCGTAATAAAGGAACCATGAAAAGGTTTTAAACAGGAGAGTGACAATAAATCAGTTCTTAACTGAACATTTAGACTGGGTAGGGCCCTAGGAATCAGATTATTTAGCAAGTAGGAGATAAACACTTTGACCCCTACTGCCATCTACATTCAAGTTTATTAGAAATTGGAGGGCTACTGGATGAAACTGAATGATGCTCCTCCTCCCACATACAAATGGTATGTCTCACATAGATTCAGAAGGATATCCTAGGAGACAGAGAAAAGAAAAAAGAACCAAAATGCTTACACAGAACTTCAGACCCATGACTGATAAAGTACCAGGTTCCAATTCTGGTAGCAAGCTATAAAGATAACACCAATGACCCCTACTTCTCAGTATTCACACTCTCATGATGTGTAATTTCTTGCTATTTCAGATAGGCTGACACATTTTACCATCATGATACTGCAGAAATGGCCATGGGCAACATATGAGGCTAAGTTAAATGGCATTGCAGATTTTGCCTTGCTTTCCTGAGCCACTCAGGCAGGTCAAATTTGCTATCCCCATATCTGTATTATATACTTTATAATAAAAAGCCTTCTGTATTGTCAAAAAATTCCTTACCTCATTGTTTATCTTCAGAAATTTGTTGACTATCCATGGTCCTTTGTTTTTCCCTCTGAATGTTTAAATTAGTTTATAAAATTATCAAGAAAACCTTATTTGTATTTTAATTGCACTTCCATATACAGAAAAAAATATATATATATAACATATCTATACATATGCTAAGGTTTCTAAAAAACACACTATTGACATTTTCCTTATCTTTCCAATGACACATTTTCTAAACCGTGTAACCTCGAAATTTGTGCCAAGACCTGCCTTCATTCCCAGAAGTTTTGCAGATCAAGAAATCCGGGAATGGGATGATAAAGTCCCAACTTCACCTGTTCCTAATGAAAGCTCTGATCATTGCCAGGAAGAGGCAATAAACCTCCTTGAAGCAATGCCAAACCTTTCCCGCTATCCCTCTCCTTCCAGGCCCCACCCTCAGACCCCCTTATAAAAGCCTAGTCTTTTCTGACTTGACCAATCATCACAGATACCTGCAAAACAGGTAAGTGGGAGCTGAGAGAAGGTGAGAGCCATGGCAAGGGTTCACCTCAGACATTTGGGAAAAGGAGGATTCTAGACTTCAACAAACATTGGTCTCAAGGGAAGTACGGTGCACAGATTCCTCAATTATTTCCAGAATCATATAGGAAATGATGTCTTCAAGTTCAATTGACTCATAGGGAACTAGCTAAAAGAAAGAAAAGATGGAGAACAGAGGGTTTTCTGATTGCCCTCTCTCTGATCATACTTCATTAATTATCTCTGATTGCTTTTTCAAGTCAGAAACACGATGCTGCCTCCCATGGCCCTGCCCAGAATGTCCTGGCTGCTGCTCTCCTGCCTCATGCTCCTATCTCATGTGCAAGGTGAGCTTTCTCTACCTGTAGCACTGGGTTCCCGGGGAATGCTCAGAACCAACAAGACCAGGAAGCCTCCTGTGTGACCGATGGGGCCATGGTGAGGAACAGCCTCACCAAGTGAAACTGTCTGCAATTCCTCCATCATCACTCCCTCCTTCAGGCCAACTCAGGGTGGGAGGCACCACAATGGAGTAAAAATGGTTTTCATTTTGTGAGTGGACTTTAATTTATATTGACAGGTGAAGAAAGCATGAAGGGTCAGCGGTGAGATAAGCACAAGAATGATTGGAGGACCCAGTGTGAGAACAGTCAGCTCAGAGTGGGGGAAGTGTTGGACTTTTGAATAAAAGGGAAGAGTAGAAGAGAAAGAGATGGTCCTTCATTTAATGAGACTGGTTTGAGATCAAGCTATCCAGTTGAGGGAGTCAGGAGTTGGTGTCACTTACCCAAGCACTTGCCTCACAGATACTCCCCAAGGTCACTTTCCAACACCCGCTTACACTCTTCATTTCCCTCCATCCCTCTCCTTTATGCCCTTCCTTCCCAGGTGAAGATACTAAGGAGGAGTCTTTCCCCAAAATCAGCTGTCCCAGAGGCTCTTATACCTTTGGCTCCCACTGCTATGCCTTGTTTAGGACACCAAAAACCTGGATTGATGCGGATGTGAGTAGATGCATTTCTAATAAGAGGTGATAAGGGAAAGGACATTTGATGGGACAGGGGTCTGCATTCTCCAGAGTTTCTTGGGGGTGAGAGTCAGCACCCTCTTCTTTTGCACACACACCTCTTCTCTCCTACATTAGCTTCCCCACTGACATTTCAAGCTCTTTCTCAGTGTTTGTCTTCCCCACACAGTTGGCCTGTCAGAAGCGACCTTCAGGATCTCTTGCATCTGTGCTCAGTGGAGCTGAGGCAAACTTCCTGGCCTCTCTGGTCAAGAAAAATTTGAACTCCTGCTATTACATCTGGATTGGGCTCCATGATCCCACAGAGGTGTGATAACATTTCCTGTCTGTTACCTTTCTAGCTGCTATTGTTACCCAGGCCTCCTCCCTGTTCCATGTGCCTCTGTGGGAAATATGCTAGAGAGCCCTGGAGCTCAGAGATTCCAGGGTTTGTTTGTGATAAAGATAAGACCTTATGGCCAAGAGAAGAGCTGAGTTTTGTGGAGGATCCTCATTTCCAGTTGAAAAAATATCTATCTCTTATGAAGCTTTTTACAACATTGGCGCACAAAGTTTTGCAATTCAGTTCTCTGAGTTTACTGAGCCTACACATAGTGTCCTGACAGAATCCTAAATGAAAATAAGATGCATTTTCCCCTATAGAATAGACATTATCTTTGAGGTTCAAAGGATAATTACAAATGCACCCATTATTGTCCAGCCAATAACATGTTACTCTTAGGTTCCCATTGGTGTTTATGATTATGGCTTTGAGATTTTTTCAGTAAGAGCAAGTTGTTAGGGAGAATTTCTCAGTGGAGAGCTCTGTGGCAACATCTGGAATAACAGACCAAATGCAGCCTGCTTAGGAGGGGATTAAATGCCCACCAGAGAGGGTTATGCAAAAATTCCAATAGCCATTCAACCTTACCTGGCTCCATTCTCTACTCTCCAGGGCCTTGAGCCCAATGCGGGTGGATGGGAGTGGAGTAACAGAGATGTGATGGATTACTTTGCCTGGGAGAAAGACCCCGCCAGCATCCCAAACCCTGGCCATTGCGGGAGCCTGTCTCGAAACTCAGGTAAGAGACACAGGAGCTCCCTTCTTGCCAGCCTTTCTATCCCTTCATCTTCCATTTCTGGGTCTGTACTTCAGGGAACCCTCCTCAACTAGGAAAGGCAATGTATGTTTGTCTTTTCCCACCTGCTCTCATCTCTCCTTCCTTTTAGTCTCCTTTCCCCTGAGTGGGTCCCTGGTGACAATGAGGGCAGGGCTGTAAACTCTAGGCCAGAGTCTCACCTTTGGATTGAAAGACCCCCAGAAGGAGACCCTCACTCTGTCCCACGGATTGAAGGCGACCCCAATCAACCGCAGGAGGCGTCACTTGATGCAAACAGCAAGAGGCTTTATTCCAGCGCGCTGGGGCTCAACTCAACTTGTAACTCAGGCAGGAGCAGAGGAGTTGAGCTCCGAGCAGAAAATCTCACAAGCTTATAAAGGCAAAAACCACATATTGGGAGGGGTTACACACGGAGGGTGAAGAGGGGAACAAAGGAATTCCAAAGGGGAGCTGGGCTCGTTATTAACATATTTTATTGTTTTATGACCAGGCTTGTGCTTAGTTAAAGGACCCTCTGATATCTTATTTCCTTTAATTGCCAAGGCACTGTTTACTCTGTTGCCCTGTTTCTCTTATCTGTCAGAGTGATGTTTGCTCCATTTGTTCCTTGTTTGGGGGCTGTTCCCTGAGACAGCTCTAAGGGCTCTGTTCCCTATCACTAGCCAGAGGGAGACGTTGGGGAGTGAGACAACTTCAAAGGCTCTGTTCCCATCACTAGCCAGAGAGAGACCTTGGGTAGTTGAGATAACACAGACAGCTTTTAAACATTTTTATTCTTTCAGGGTCACAATCTCCACTAGCCCCATTCACTTTATCTCCTCTCTTTCCAGGATATCTGTTATGGCAAGATTATAACTGTTATGAGAAGTTACCCTATGTCTGTAAGTTCAAGGGTTAAGTCAGGTGGGAGTCAGCAGCCTGAGTTGGGATGCAGCTCATCATGGGACCACGTGAAGACCCACCCCAAAAAGGGATATTTTCTCCACACCCTCAAACCTGACCTCTTCTTTTATGACCTTCCCTCCTCCTCCCCTTAATTTCAAGCTTTGAATTCCCAATAGCATGAGGTCTCAGAAAGTAACAATAAATGTTTTACTTAATACTTGTGTGCCTTTGTGTTCCAGTCTCATAGCAAAACTGAGAAATTATTGGGTGTGAGGAAAAATCTACGTGTTGCCTTTGTTTCATTTCATTCAGGCCCCTGGGACATAGATTAATGTACATCCTCACAGTGAATTTGTGATGAGTATGAAGGCACTGCTCACGTAGGATTTAGGTTGTGTGTGAGGCTGAAGGAACTGGGTGCCACCATCTTGTGGCAGTGGGCACCACCATCTTTGAAGGCATGGCAGTCAATTAGCATATTCCCTCCTTATTGGCTGTGGGCGCCACCATCTTTGTGATGGTATAAGGGTCAATTAGCATATTCCCCTTTTATTAGATAGAATTGGGACACATTGTGGGATGCTGAGGGTGGACTGGGGTTTGAGAGTGTGAAACCGCAGGAGTCTGCAGTCATAGTGAGGTTGCCACTCTTCCATGGGTTTTAATTCTAGAACCCCACCAGATTCTTGTGATGAAGGGAAAAGTAACCATTTTGAAATCTGTCCAGAAAAAGATGTCCCAGGAAAAGAAAACTTCAGGATAATGTCCCTGATAATTATAGTAGTAAGGATCCTCAACAAAATGTTTGCAAGCTGATTTCAACAGAACATGAAAAGGGGCATACATTGTGAACTCAAAAAATTAACTATATCCTCAATGAACAAGTTCATTTTCTGGAGAAAATCTGTGTATTCTAGCTAGAACTTGGTATTCACCGCAGTACCAGTTCAATCAGCAGGAGTAAGGAATATTAGAAGTCACGTGGTGTTATTATGGGAGCTACACTAACCTCTTGAGTAGGATCTGAGGATGAGACCCAGTTCTTAGAAAAAGGGGGGGCAGGAAGGCACCCTAACAGAATTTCGCTGCAGTGAACAAGACTTAACGGTCTCATTCTGACCTTGGCTTCTTTTCTGACATAGACTCTCTTCCTGGGATAATGCCATGTTGCTCAGATACCATATATGCTTCTGACCTTGCCCAGTCCTGCAGACTTCCAGGACTTGTCCAGCTGACTATTGCTCTCACCACTTTCATAGCATGTATGCACTCTTCAACTGTTTTTTGAGAACTATGTATTTATCCTCTTATTATTCTGCCAGTCCCTGTGAACCAATGAACTAGGCAATTTTTTCCCCTGACTTAAATCAGCACATACCCACAAACTTCTGGGCCTCTGGTGACCCCTCTTGCATTGACTTTACCCTCCTTCTAGATTTTTGGAGACAACCATTTAGTAATAGCAGGTGCAAAAAAAGCATCTGGATATCTGAAGAAGAGGTGAACTTAGGGACCCTATTTCTGAATGTCCTGATTGCCACTTGCTCACCCCTTTTAGCTTGAGAATAGTTCTTCCCTCTTGACCTCAAAATTTCCTACCATAACATCAGATTTGTCTATTCATCTTCCATGGTTTTTAAAGTGCACGGCAGGGGGGTCACTGCACACCAGCCCCTCAAATTTACAGTTTACTGTGCATTTGGCACCTGCATTTGTTTGTGGATTTCTTCCTTGGTTTAAAGCAGAATTACCCATAATTCAGAAGCTACTCATAAACTGTTTAATTTTGTTGCTATGTATACTTTGGGAATACTCATTCAATAGCTGGATTAAGAAAACACTAAGTTCTACAAAGTGAAGCAGATTTCCTTACTGAAGGGATTTTCCAAGTCTTTGTAAGCAAATGTATAAAAATAAAAGGAATAGGGCGGGCAGCTTATCAGAACGTTGGTTACAGGTGTGTGTGTATCCCTATTTGGGAAAAATACCTATTAGTAGATAACAAGATAAATGCAGTTTTAATAGTAGTCTAATGTGTTGCAAATTACTGGTGTTTGAAATTATTAAATCCACTTAGTGGTTAAACTAACATAAATGAAAGGAGACCAGAATAGAAAAGTCCACAGAAAGCCAGAAAATACTATTTTTTGAAACTTTTATTTTAGTTATATGTGTATGTGAACAGACTTCAGATTTAAAAGGTAGTTTTTATTATAAATAGCAGTCCAAGTTTTGAATGACACTAATCTAAAACGGTGATTTTCAACTAGTGTGCCATGGCACCCTGGTGGTGCTGCAAGAAATTTTAAACATGCAACACCTACCTCACTATTTAGTCAGGGACATTGACCTTTTTTCCCTTAGAATGTCAAATAAGAAAATGACAACAGCCAACACAATGATAGCTGTTCAGTGTGAGTGAATCAAAATTATATCGAATTTTTGTTAGATTGACAAAAAAAATAACATATTTTTGGGGTGCCACAGAATTTTAGTAATGAGTTTCTGTGTGCCATCTGATGAAAAAGGTTGAAAATCGCTGGCCTTTAGCTTTTAGGTAACTGTAGGAAGATTAAACAAGTGGCCACTAGAGGGAGAGTTGGGTCAGCCCAGAGTCTAGAACTAGGGAAAATTAGAAGCATGAGCTGGCTGCTTCTATAAACAGAAATGGTTGGGAAAAAACATTAGGAAAAAGTTTAATCTATCCCTACATCCTCTAAAATGAAGGTGACCAGACATCCCGCTTTTGGCGGGACAGTCCCCATTTTTAACAAGTTGTCCCGCGTCCCATAGTGTTTTATAAAAGCCCGGTTTTGGAAAAGAATGCACGACAAGCTAGGGAATGGTGGGAGAACGGGAAGGAAATATATGGTTTTCAGAGGCCATGTGGCTATTTATATTATTTTTGTTAATTTTATAATGTTAAACTTTAATAATAACAAATAATTGTTGAGAACTGATTATTGAGAACTGCTTATCAAAGTTCGCATTGCTGATCAGTTGTTAGAATTCACTCAAATGAGAAATATGCCAAAGAATAAAATAACACTATACATAATTTTTTTTATTTATTATATTTGTAAATTGTACTTATGTTGAAATTTAAAAATATATAAATTACAATACTATTTTTGCATTCTATGAAAATTTTTGTTGCTCCATATAGACCAAATTTTTAATCAAGAACACCCCCCTCAATGGTGTCCTGCTTTACCAATGTTAAAATCTGGTCACGTTATCAAAGATTAAATATCTGCTTACGTAGCACATAGCAGAAAACAGAGGAGCAAATCTTGCAAGTGAAAATACACAGTATGTAACAGAGAGTTCGGCATTGGGTTGTTCAGAGGTGGGGAACCTCTGGGATTGGATAAAAAGTGAAAGGATGGACATATGCTTCTTTTACTTAGGTGGGTACAGGATAGTTAACAATTAACAGGGTAACAGTTACAATGAGGGAATTTGTGGTCTCCACCCTGGTGCCCTTTTTGGGCCCTGAAGGGTCCGGACAAAGGGAAATTACAAGTTACCCTGACATTCCACAGGTATGTTATCTTAGATGCAGAAAGTCATTAGGTTCAATAAAGATTGAGTTGATCTTTGTCAGGGAAGATACTGGCCTAGGACATGACCTTAAATTCTTAGTGAGAAGGGCATGCTCCAGGCTTTGACATTCTAAATATAGTCTTCTTAGCATCACTTATAAGTTTGTTAGAAATACAGAATCTTAGGTTCAAGGAATTGAATCATGTTCATTTAAACAAGATTTCCAGCTGATTTAAATGTTTAGAAAAGTTTGAGAAGCATTGTTCTGGCGTACTAACTGTTATGCCCAGATTTCATGATCCCCAAAGACCACCAGGGAGCCAAGTCTGATGCAAAAGCAAAAAGCCTTTATTTGGGCTAGCCCCAGCTCTGTCCCACTTACACCGAGGCAGCGATGAGGGGAAAGAGAGCAAGCTTCAACAGATCAAAGGGTTTTATAGAGGTCTGGGGGATGGGTGGTGAGGTCACTGCTTTGGCTGACCCTGAATGGTTGGGTGAGGGCTAGAGTCCAGTTACACAGTCACATAGTTATGCAAAATGGAGGCTACAGTATAAGATGAGTCAGGAGTTAGCCACACCCGGCTCCCTCAATAACTTTTGGTGAGACAAACTGACCCCTGATTCATGAGCTCAAGCTGCAGAAGACTGTAGAATCTACAGTGTAGACCAAGCAGGATAACAGAGTTCTGGTCTGGGCTTGTAAAATAGAAGAGTGTCCATGTCTCAGTGCGATTATTTTTAATTTATCTTTATTTTTTAAAGTATTACCATATCACAGTATAATTCATCTTTATTGCCTTCTCTTCTCACTTATTCATAAGGTCTCCTAAATATAGCCTGGTCCCAGTGAAATATAGTAGCAACCATACTTTGGTAAAAACTGCTGTTTGAATTTTAACCCTGCTAAGTCTGGCTCCTGCCTGATTAAACACGGAATACTTACCTCAGCTTCCAGGTGGAGACTTGGAGGCTAAGGCAATTTTCCCTTGCCTGGGACCAGGACCACAAGAGAATGATTCCCACTGACTCAGTAGCTTCAGGAATAGAAACTGTAGATAACCTTTAGAGACTAACCTCTGAGCTCTGCTTCTGTGTTATCAGCTATCGCAAGATATGGCCACATTCCAATATCCAGCAGGATGTGACTAGCAAGGACCCTGTGGGCTGACCCCAGTCTTTAGAACATATTCTTTAGGATTTAGAATTTAGAACAAAGGAAAATTCCTGTGGTTTTAACCTTTAAAAGGGACTGCCTACGCCTGAAACGGTGCAGTCCTGTGGAGACCACCTGCCTGTGGTGCTCTCGCGGCTGTCGTGGCCAGATATTTCAATAAATCCTTGCTTGCTTTTTTAATTAATCATCAGCCTCTGGTGGTCTTATTTTGAACCCAGGATTCGACCCCACAACAAGGAAGCCCAGCAGCCATGGACCACCTGCATTCAGAACCAGCCAGTTCTTGTGCACAG